TTCAGAAACACGTTTTCCATATTCCTTTCACATGTGTTTACACGAACAACTTTAATAAACTGAACTTACGACTCTAAACAATTGGGTAAACTTACAATACACTAACAACCGACACACATAAAATCAAATACCAAACAAACATTGTGGCTAACATTTTGTCGACGATATTTTGTAAATCCCGTATTCATCAAACCACTCTAACAAATGCATTGTTTGTTCATGTTTCAAAATGGCCGTAGTTCGACATGATTTTTTTTCTTTTAAAATTACTTTGCTCATTTATCTGATAAGATAAACGTAGTTAATTTCACATAAGTATGGTAAGACAAAGCTACTTTGTCATATTTATGGTAAAGCCCATGAAGAAACTGATTCAATTCAATTTAATTATACATTTATTTTAAATAATAGAAATTACATACACATTTTCAAGGGAAAAATAAATGAATAAATCGCCTGAAAAACAGAAATACCAAGGAAATTTGTCCCCTGAAAAGAGTGATCTCCAGTAAAACAGTGTCACCTTCAAAGCCATTCCTTCATTTGGCTAGGTCTCCAGTTCCCCTCTCAGACAGTCCAACTGTAGCCAATGTGACGGGTGGAAGCCGAGAGGTCTCCTGGGCCCTCTCTCGTTCTACCCTCAATCGCAGGAGTTCCCGCGGGCGTCTGCCATGTTAGCGCCCGAATGAGAAAGACGAAGAGAACTGCTTTTGTTTTTGTGAGCCGGCACAGGTCAATCTGGAGCCGCCCGGTTCATTCTTACGGCCAGTCTCTCGGGTGCTGTGCAGTCACGGACCGAGCTGTTCTATTTTTACGAGACTTCCAAGGGTTACAAGCTCGATTAATTGCCTTTACAATCTATATTAATAAACATGAAATTAACGGCATGCAACCGGTATCGATATCACAAAAATGGTGCATAAATATATACGAAATTTTTACAGGTTTCTCTTCGGAATTGTACCAGTGTCCTTGCAATGTGATTATGTGTGATTATGTGATGATGTGTGATAATGTGTGATTATTACACCACAAATGTGTAAACTAAATACGTTTAATAATATGCTGATGTATGCAACCCGACCATTATTTTTCGCCTCTTGCTAAGAGAACGTGGTTCTACTAGATGCTAGTAGCGGTGTGGTGGAATCAAGCCCCTCCTACGCGAATGGCTGTAGAAATTCGAACCTGTGGCAAATAGAAGGTCACCTTCATCTGCCATTTTGTTGGCAAATAAAGGCGGGAATTCGAATAGTAGGATGAATTCAAATGAAATTGTTTCGTACAAATTGTCTCCCGTTTCTTTTCTTCAATATTTAACATAGAACCATATGTGGCTTGGTGCAAGAAAGGGCGATGTAAATATTCTTGTTGGTTGACAGAATGGGTGGTTTTCTTTTTTGGCAGAACATTTCATCTGTTACAACGTCTGTGTATTCCACTATTTCTGGTAAGGTAATAGCTTTTAAAACCATATTACTCTTATTTTGGCCAATACTGTTGTTTCAAATTTGAATCATTTAAACCTTTTTTAATGACATTGGCCCTTTTTGACAATTCGAAACCTAGACAGTGGACCTGACATAAGCCCCACTTGGTTGTGTGAAGGGGTGGACTAGAGAATGATATTGCCCTTTTATTTAATGTATTAAAAATCAATATATGTCTGAAGTTTTATCAAATCTTTTTTTTTTCAATAAATAAACAGTAACATAAGCAATGGCAATGGTTTTGAAAAGATATAAAATAGAAATGTTTGTGTAAGAATAGTGGAAAACTCCTATTGAGCAGTGTAAAACAGTCAAGTGATCACTTATCAAATATTTTTCAGATTATAAAAACAAAACATGAATTTAGAATACAATATTTCTTAATAGTAAAGACAGTAAGTATGACATGTAGGAGCAAATGTGTAAATCGCAAAGAAAGTAATGACTAGGCTGATTAATGTTCGACATCTGACAATGTCACTTTAATTAGTATTTTGTTCCTTCTTTAATGTTGTTTAGAAATGCTTCCTAGTATATTATGCTGGTTGGATATATGAATAGTAGAACAATCATAGACAAGAAATTGCTATCCAAGGATCAATGTCAAACATTGGCTGCTACAAAGAGGCCCACATTTTAATACTATTTCTACGAAGTGTTTTCATATCAGGAGATAAGATCGACTTTTAACTATGGCTTTCCTCACACTGAAAGAAGGATCTTATACATATTGGACATAGAAACCGTCGATCACTCAAAACTTATTGGCCCTTTTTGCACCAAGCCACAGATCGCAAAAAATTGTTATAGTCAGGAATATTAATATCTTTATAGAAATACCTTGAGTTTTTTTAAGGAAAAATGTAAGTGCTATCCCATTCAGCTTTAGCGTGAACTGATAATTTAATATCCAGCACTGTTATTACAATTTTAAATAATACAAGTACTTCAAAATTCAACACTGTCACTACATATCTACACACCTAGGCATCAAGGAAAATGGTGGAGGATATGCTAATTTCAATTTGGCTGATTCGTTTTCCAATTTTTCTATTTCCTTTTTTGAAGTATACATTTCTTCTCTTAAAATTATATCTAAAAAACAATTACTAAACATACACACTGCAATACAAAACATTAAAATAAGTTATTAATTTTTAAATAAAATACTTTTCGTTAAATGTTGTCGCAAAATCTTTTTATGCAATTCATTGGTATGAACTCTAGCCACATGATGGCATCTAACAATGTATACTTCTGATATACATTTCAGAAGAGGCACTTCGTGGTTTTCTGGGAAAACATTGTCCCGTATGTGTTCCACTAAGTCTGGAAACAGATTGGAAGATACCAAGTTGCTGTATACGACTCTTAGTTTTGCCATTTTGAGGGTTCCCATTTGCAGTGAGGAGCACATTTCGAATCAGCTTCTCAATCTGCCTACATACAAATACAAGTCCTTTTAAAGGCATAAACAGCCCTGCATTATTCTTTCTATTTGAAAGATCTGAGAAAGGAATGTCATCATCACTTGCAGTAAGACATTCAATGCATTCTGGGCATTTGAAAATTGTTGACACTTTTCTTGCTACAAAACCAGCAATCTAGACAACTATGTTATTGCAGTATTCACTCAAATCACATAAAAATATATTATAGGAGAAATCACTTTCTTCATTGGTGGCTGTAGATTCTGGTTCCAAATCTAGCCTTCGTAAATTCCCAAAAATCACTGGATACAAATCCCAGGTGTTCATTTTATCCCAGCATAATTTAGTGTCATCTTGTGGTAGACAATTACCTGACATTTTTGCCTTTATTTTATTTTGAACAAGGAGAGATTTCCAACCTGTACGAAATTGCATCCCTTAAGGGTTGTTATTAAATCCCAATCTCGATCTTATCATGGAAAAATAAATTTCAAGATGATCTTAGCTGAATTTATAAGTAGAAAGATAATTTTGTGGCTTTTACAGAGATCAAGAAATATTCCTTTAACACTCCTATATAGGCAAATTGAACCTACAAGTCCAGTCTTCCTAGGCCCTTCACATTGCCCATTTGCATTTCGCAAGCCCTTATATAATTTTCAGCTTCATCAAGTAAGGATGACTAAAATTTTCATTAGAAAATCTTAGCACTGCGTTGAAACCCTTTGCACATGGATTCCTTGAGTTCAGAACATCAAACAATTTATCTAATATATAGCAAAAGTTTGCTGTTGCTTTTGCACCTTTAAATAGAGGATCATTTAAATCAAACTCCAAAAACTCTAAATCTTTACCCACAGAACTACTTAACACTTGAGCTGCTAAATAAACTTACATTTTTTGTGAAGAAAAGTTAACATGTTTATTCTTAATTTTATTTGCAGCAACTAATCCTTCTTTTTTCTTGATATTTTCTAGTTTTTCAATGTAGTTCCATCACACAATATTACCCTCATAATCTGTAAGTTCTTTAAAATCGCCAAATAAATTTCTCACCAATTTCAACATGTGACAGGCATTCACCATTCAATACACCTTTGCCTGTGTTACAGGATGAGGAAAACATGAAACCAAGTTTGGTAGAAATATATTGGCTCCTAGGTTGGAGGACACAGCAAAATTGCTTTTTAGACCATCAAAGGTAATGGCCACAACTTGTACGCCCACTTTGTGAAGAAGATACAGGGCAGTTCTTACTATACAAGTTTTTTCATCTGCACTTATACCATTAATTAAATAGTAGGCAATGGGAATTTTCCAAGCAGCATTAAGGGCTACAAACATTATTACCAAGGCTTCTCTGGTTTGTTGACCTTCACATTGTTCAGCGCTACGTATACCTCCAAGGTCAACATTTTTTTCTGCATAATTTACAATCTGTTCCTATCGGAACAATAAGCAAATGGTGTCAACAGATACATTTCCGACGTGAACGTTTTTTGACATTGAAAATTTTTTTTACAAAATCGGTATGGCAGATCTAAAATACTCTCTCTCCAAGGTCAACATAGCCAACAAATTGTGAACCATCCCATTCAGTTGAACTTTTAATGGACATTTTGTCAAATATGACTGTCCCATAAATTGAGTGAGGAGAGTTTTTAACTCTCTGCTTAAGGGCTTCAAGAGCTTCTGATGAGAAACCTGGTCTGCCATCAACAGTGTTGTACCACCTACGAATAGTGCTATTGCAGGGCAACGAATATTGAAGAGCTTCTCTAACAAATCCGTAGGCAGCAGGAGAACAAAAATTTAGAGTTAATGCGAAAGATTTGAGTGTGTTACAGAACTATTTGTTGCTTGGATTTTTAATCCGATCAACGAGCTCCAGAGAAACATCATTAAAACATTCATTTATCATATCCGCAGACCTGTTTTTCAATAAATTTTCCTTCTGCAATGCAAGAAGCAACTCTTTTAGGTTAAGAATCTTCCTACTTAGAACACTACATTTTCTGTTTGTTTGAAAAAGTTTCTTCCTAGCTCGTTTCAAACAATCGTCTTTACGCTGAATAACACATTCAAGTTTCCTTTTCAGAGTCTTGGGACTACTTGAAATGTGGCAACCATGCTCTTTCAATACATTAGTTCCATATGATGAAGATGGTTGATTTTCATCGATATTTTCATTTTCTGCTGAAGTAACTGGCCTAGCTGCTGATGGTTTTCGCTCTTTCGACACCTGCACAATCATGACAAATAGATTTAAACTAACAACATGATACATTGGAGTTATTGAAATATTTTCAATTAATAACAATTTAAATTGCAAGTGAGAGATTAGTTTTACTATATTGTTGTAACATTTTGTATCCCAAAAATTGTTATGACATTTCTCCAATAAAATACATATACATATTTATAGCGTACTATAATTAGTCATGCTATGGCACAGATGCTTAGAAAAAGAGCCACATACATAACCTTTCACATTTGTGTATAAAACAACTGAATTTGGAAGATGGTCCTGGTGTACATACATACATACATAAATTTACAAACATTAAACGAAAAAACAATACATACCTTAACCAAATATGTTGGTACATTAAACTTTGTAGAAACAGCATCAGGTTTCAGCTTTTTTTATATTTACATAACCTGCTAGAAAGGAGCTGTCTTCGAAATGGTCAGAACAAATGGCACGGTGATGGGTAGGTTTAAAACCCAATCGTCTGACATTCCTTATTCACTCCTCGCAAAGGTCTTTCTTCGCAAGAGGGAAACTGCAATAGAAATTAAGTTAAATACGGAAGAAATGTATTACGCGTAATATGGTCCACATGCTCAAATGCTTACCCGTAGAAGGAAATGCTGCTTCCTTTCTTATGCCTGTTGCTGCAATTTATTGCAGCATACGAAATCACCATTTTAATACTGGAGCTTCAGTTCGTATTAGAAAAAACACTGCAAAAACACTCACGACCCAACAATCACTCCTTACACTTCACAGTAGGTTCAAAATTATTGCCAACAAAATGGCGTAGGTGCACTCTTTCAATCTACAGAGGGAACACTAGCGCTTATGAACACTAGTTCTACTTACTACCTCTATGGGTAAAACTGGTATCTAATAGCTGGCTTCTTATATATTCCGTCAGAGGGCAGTCGTGGTGTAGCTGAACTAGTGCCTATTAATTTCACCAGAGGTCAGTAGCAGTGCTTAAGATACAAACGTCTAATCTAGTAGAAATGTACTGTAAAACACGACGAAAAAAAGTATAATATTTTATTAAAATTTGAACATATTACATTAAAAATTATAATGTTAAACACGGTGATTTCCATAAAATTGATTTTTTCTTCTTTTGCAAAAATTGGATATGAATAAAACGCGGTCAACGCCGAGGTTTTGCTAGTTCTGAAAAAAGAAGTATATTTTTAAAGTGAACGCTTAATTTTAAGGACAGATTTATTTTGCAAAGAATGTTATTTGATAGGTTTGTTGATATTGCCATATTGAAGAACTCACAAAGGTGTACATGGTGGCTTCAATATGTTAAAATGCTTAATTATTCATTTCCAAAGGATCTTCAACATGGGTTGGTTTTTCAACATGGCATTGTCAACACTTCAACTCATCAATGAAGAGGGGTTCGTGGCCGACCTTCCTCAGGATGCCCAACACTGAACAAAACAACGAATATCTATTCCATTGAGCTTCTTTGACATGTGACTTTGTATTTTTATTTCACTGTAATAATGGTCTGAAGATGGTGGAAAATATTGATGCAATGAAACATTTTAATGTTATTTAAAATTGTGTAGTTTATTTGAGAATTAATACAAAAGATGATTGTTCGAAAACAAGATTGGACCTTTACACCTGGTAAAACATCCTTCAATACAAAACTGTGATCTGAATATCTTTGCGACATATGAAGGCATCATAGTTTGGCTTTACCACACACTCTCGCAGCTCTGCTGTTGTCACTACGGATAACTCAAATAACAAAATATCACAATTCAATAAAAAATATCACGATTTTCATGTAATATTTACAAGGCATTCACACAATAGCTATTGCCTCTCACTTACTACATTTCAATTCTCTCTTATCAATTATCCTCATATTTACATGTAACACAACTTTGTATTTCGAAATGAGTTTTTGAAATGTTTGAAATTTTATTTTTTGTTTTCCACTACATTCTTGACATATGGTATAGCTACATATGGCAAGCTTCTTCCGCATCCATTACTCCACACCACAGTCTTGTTGCTTCGACACTTTACTTTCGACTTCGATTTCAACCTTAGACAGCTTACAGGACACCTAAGAGAATAGTACAGGTCTTCTGTTCGTTAAAATGCCTGATTTATCAAATATTTTAAAAAATTAAACAATTTTCGGCATCTTCCTACAACTGCAATTGGGAAGAAACCATTTGTTTCTTAATGATTCGCGTTAATTAAAAAGAAATCTGAAAATAAGGTCATGTTTAATTTTTTGAAAATAAGAATTTTTTGTTTAATTTGGCGACAAAAATTATCGCTGGCTTCGTAAGGAGGCAGATTGAGAAGTCTGTGACTTTGACACTAGTTCGCGGCCACTTAGCAGATTCTTCGTTGGCACTGAAGTCTGACATACATTTTAGGAAATCTTACATGAACCTTGTTGCCATCTTCTCGTTAGGTCTCGTTGAGAGGGTCCGAAACCAGAAGGTGTGAGTTGCTTTGTGAAAATGGAGAAAAGTGGATTTCGAGTGTTACTCGCACTACGCACTACTACTCACTCGCACTCGATCAAGCGCTACCTTTTGAGTGGGAAAACTTTAAAGGAAACGGAAGAGAAGTTGAGAAAGTGTTATGGGAACACTGCTCCGTCACATGGTAAGGTCCACCAGTGGTTCACAGAATTTCGATGTGGTCGTTAGAGCACAAGTGATACAGAGCGTCCAGGATGGCCGGTTGAGGTCACAAATGAAGAAATGGTGAACACAGTTCACGATATTGTGTTAGAAGGCAGCCGAATTTAAGTAAGGGATTTAGTTGAGATTGTAAACATTTCGTATGAACGAATGAGCAACATTCTACACGAACATTTGTATATGAGAAAGCTGTCGGCCAAAACGTGTGACCATTTCACAGGAGCGTTTGAACATGTTCAAGCGTACTCGAAATGAGTTTTTCTGGCGGTATGTAACAGTTGATGAAACGTGGATCCATTATTTTCAACTTGAGACCAAACAACCATCCAATCAGTGGATTTGTTCCCACGAACGTGCTCCAAAGAAGGCGAAAACAGTTCCGTCGACAGGAAATGTCATGGCGATTGTTTTCTGGGATTCGCAAGGTGTAATATTAATTGGCTACCTGGAAAAGAACAAAAGAATAACAGGTTTATATCACGCCGAATTACTGGATCGTTTTCACAAGGAATTGTTGAAGAAACGACATCTTGCGAAGAAAAATATTCTCTTTCACCAAGACAATGCGCTCGCGCACAAGTCTGCTGTTACCATGGCAAAATTTGCGGAACTGCGCTACGAACTATTACCTCATCTCACCACATTCCCTATATTTGGCTCCAAGTGACTTTTTTCTTTCCGGAAACCTGACGAGATGGCACGGTGGGAAGAAATTCAAGTCCAATGAAGACATCACGGAAGCAAGAAACCAATATTTTGCGACTTTAAAAAGTCACATTTTTTGGAAAGCATAAACATTAGAAAAACGTTGGGGAAGGTGTATCGAGTTAAAAGGAGACTATGTTGAGAAATAAAGTTGAATTTTGTACAAAATATATTTCTTCTTTAAAAAGTCACGGACTTTTCAATCCACCCTCGTATTTACGACACTTCGTGAACATAATGCCAGGCTGATGGATGATTCGTAAGTAAGAATTTGTATTCATTTCATATTTCAGTGTGTCATACATTCGACCATTTGTTATACATTTATACAATATTTTCGAAATTATTTAAAATCTATTAGAAATACATGAAAGAAAAATTGCCTTCAAGGAATTTAGATTGAAATGCAACAATAACATTCCACGCCGCGAATCGACAGGAGAACATATGAGTAAAACATAGACCACTGTATCAAATAAAATAAAATTCATATCACCTGTCGACAAAATTAATAAATCCGCCAGCTAAAAATAAAAAAAAACTTGGCAGGGGATGATAATATAACAACTGAAATATTGAAATAATTAGATCATATATATTCATCGCAGCAATAACTGCAATTTTTAATTCGTGCTTAAGACTTGGATATTTCCCAAACATTGTAAAACTGTCATCACACCGATTTGAAAACCAGACTAATGTACTAAAGGTCCTGAAAACAACCCACTGAACAGTTTGTTACCAACTCCCTTAAAGGTATTCGAAGGATTAGTATTATCAAGAATAGTTGACTTCTTACTAGCTACAAATGCAATTTCATCGGTTCAATTCGTCTTTCTGTCCTACTACGTTACAACGCATCTACTTCTGAGACCAACTGAATTCATTGCAAATAATTTTCATCAAAAGACTCATACGGATCCGCATTTTTTTTATTTACACAATCATTTGACAATCCGGATTATTATTTAAAATTTAACAGCTCTATATAACAATACTTGCAACAATTTCTCATACATTTCATTTGCGGTACGTCTTTCAAAGTTAAAATAAATTCAAATGTATTAACTTCACATTCAATAAAACCAAGGGCAATTCAAGCTACTTGAATAATCCACTTACTGCTCACAATATTTATGACTGATTACCCTCCTCCAATAAATCGCTTTACGGGTGGTCCATAAATTACGTAACGCTGAAGAGCGGGTCTGATGCAGCGTAACGCTGCGTTACATAGGTGTAGGGGGCATTAGCTACGTGTTATGTAAAGTGATATTTCGTATTTTACATTTTTCAAGATTTGCTGAAATAATTCATTATTTGAGGTCTGTACTAAAGTATTAAAATATTAACTAATGCAATTGTTACAATAAATGAAAATTGTTTGAAATTTTTTTAATCTGTAAGATTACGAAGAAAATATTCAAAACTGATGTGAAGTATATTCCCAAATCCATTTAAATTGGCACTGTAGACTCTCGCTCTTGCATCATCCAAGTCGGCGTGAGCGTAGCTTGTGATCTACCATTTTTCGCTCAAGCATTTTTCTCTCACTCGCAACTTGCCTCAATCTTACTTTAGGATACAATCAGCAACACCAATTACGTCAACTTTAATTATCATTAATTACTTTAATACATATACAAGTAAAATAAATACAAATGGTTTTTACTATGCTATAATTCTTACATTCAGGAGGAGGGTGTTGTTGCAAGCATTACGTCATTATGTAGGAGGGTTGAAGCGCGCGTTACGATTACGTTACAAGGGGGAGGAGGTATTAGAAAAACACCAAATTTGCGTTACGTAATTTATGGACGGCCCCTTTTATGTGGACGACTCGGCCTTATTCGTAGCTAACATTAATAAAGCTTATGATTACTTTCAAGCAAATTTAGAACAAAATCAAAAATTGGAGCAAACCATGGAAAATAAATATCAACTCTCAAAATCTCGATGTATGAATTTATAGACCCGCACAGTTAAAAATAGAAAATACCAATGTTCCATGGCTCCCTTCCCGAACAGCAGTAAAATATCTCTGAGTCCTATTAGATAAAATGTTTACGTAGAATGCACATTTTCTCAATCAAATAAAGCTTGCGCTAAAATGAGTAAACTAATTCTCTAATCAGCTATAAATCGCAACTCAGAAACAAAAATAGTCTATTATTTTTTAGATCAATAATTCCTCCAATACTAACATACGCCTGCTCAGTATGCCACAAATCAGCACCGAGACATTTCAAATTATTACAAACGGTTCGATACAAATTTTTACGTAAAGTCGTCAAAGCACCTTGCTTCATTATCAACAGACAAACACATCATGAATTTTCAATTGCTCCAGTCACTGCAATTCTGTCAAATTTAAATAAATAATTTTAATCAAAACTTCAGTTCCTACCTTGCACTTCTACTTTCAACATTGGCAAATCCACAAATTTAAAATCACAATCCGTTCCTGTTTCCCTAAACACGATTTTCGATCATCATAAACATTATACTCAGGTCAATGAACAAAAAATTTAAGTATATATTCCACGCCTTTTATGACCAAATCGCTTCACCAATTAAACTAGTGGTGCTACAGAATGGCACAGACTTTCCCGTTTTAGTTTTCTATTTACTTTGGTCTCGGCAAGCTATTCAGACTTGCCACATACTCTTCCCAGCTGCCATCTATCGCCGCTCTAAGTAATATTTTTTCATAACTTTTCTATTTCCTAATAGTAGAACGAAAATATTATTTTAAGAACATTAACGAGCAGTAAAACCTCGTCCTTCATGACAATTTTCTTTGAAAAATGCAGAGCCGTTTTTAAGAAAATGACGCTTAAGCGCTATTTCGAAATTCGAAAAGAAAAAATGGCATACCGCAGCTTAATTATGAAATACAGTCATTTGAACACTTGTCAAATATATTTTCACACTATAAAAATAAAATATGAATTTAGAGAACAGTATTTCTTAATAATAATAAACAAACTTAGGAGGATTGATTATGGACAAATTGTATATAATTCTGCCAAATAGAAAACTCAAGCTTGAGCTAATTCATAATAATGCCCTTCAAATCTGTACGGAATGTTTCCATACTAGCCCGATTGGAAGTATTTTAATTGAAGCTAATAAACCAACTTTGTCTCATCGAAGACTTATTAACTTTAAAATTTGCTATCAAAGCATCAACGTCCAACAACCCTATCATATTTCGTGATATTTATCCACAATATCGCCAAAAACACAATGGAATTCAGAACATTCCTGTATATGCCAAAACCAAACAAATTCTCTTAGACCTTGAGTTTAAGGAAGTTAACATGGAGAACAAAAAGTATTACTAGATACCTCCGTGGAAACTCCCTGATACCACTCTGTAAATGACTTACAAGAAAATATATCATCTAAGGAAGATTGGAAACCAAAAGTAAAAGAATTCATCAATAAATACACCGACTACTATAAAATATATACTAAGGGCGTCAAAAACAATAATGGAACTTTTGCCATTGTAACAGCTCAAGAAATAGAAATAAATCAACAACTAAATCCATATGCTAAAACTTCCGCAGC